TGTAGCAGTCGCTAGTACTACTCTGTCCATCTACCTTAACCTCACGCTAATGTAGTGGGCACTAATATATCTATCAGTCACCTTTCAAGCCTTTCTTGGCATTGTCCTGCATGAATATCATAACCTCTTTGAAACCTGCTGACTTCTTCTTATACCAGTGTCTGAAGAAGGTGTCTTCTAGAAATAGTCAGATCTTGTAGGTTTTACATCGTTTGCAAATCAGAAAGATCTGACACTGATAGTTGCAGCCCACATCATCTCTCCTCCACCACCTTATTGTTGCTTGAATAATGTGTCCAACCTCTGGTCCATCAAGAGTCTCTCTAATTTCATCTGTCCACAGAACCTTTCTAAAATCAGTCTTGAGACGTGTCCATGCCCATTCTTGATGTTTTAGCCTGTGTGCCTTATTGAGTGGAGGTCGTGTTTCAGTGACCTTGTGACCTTAACAGTGTCATGCACCACGCTGCACCTAGTTCTTTCAGAGAATTCCATTCAGGTTGCGGTTTTGAAAAATGTGGGTGTTTGTTGCTGAAGAGTTTCTGGAAGTTTTTGGCAGTTAATATGCATCACCTTTCTCTACATTCGTCTCTTTGGCTATCGGCCACAAAACACTTGATTGTATGGCGATCATGTGTTAAAAATGTATCAGTTTTGATTGTTTTGTATCCCCCCTAACTCTTTTGTTTAATTGTATGGTTCCTCTTTGTCCCTATTTAAATAGTAATAATAATTTGCTTAGCAATTTCACACATGGTAGTTATCTACAGATTTGTATTTTACTACAAAGTACTCAGACCAAACACTGAATAAGCTCCATTTTTGAACACTCCATTCATAACTGGAGATTAATCTGGACTGAAACTATTGATCGGAAGAGAAGGTACAAGTGCAATACACACTTGCCTAATAATTGTATACATGGTGTAATGAAAACATGCATCATGGGCTCAGAAGTATTCAGTGGTGGCAATTATAGAGAGGCATGGAAATGCAGACATTCCAGTGGACATTGACAGCCCTGGGTAATGAGCAGAAAACATCTGACGTCACCCCTGTCACGGAACATGACACTTTTGTGGCATGGAATGTGGAACTTCTTGTTCTGTTGTTGAGTTCTTGGTTGAAGGATGAAATGTCAAGTTTAATAAATTGGCAGTTACATTTAGAGCTGATGAATATGCAGAGGCTTAGGGTAACGGTGTCGTGACACGTTCTTGTTCCCTCCCTTCAGCCCTGCACACAGAGCCTGGAGACACTCAACCTCAACTACAACTCTGTGGGAAACGAGGGCATCCACAAGCTGAAGGATGGGCTGATCGGCAACCGCTCTGTGCTGTGCCTGTGCCTGGTTTCCACCAAGCTCTCCTGCGAGGGTCAGTAGCCCATCGGATGCTCCCGCCTCCGGCCTAGGGGGCTCCCATGTATGATGTGGCACGGCTTCACTTTATAACATGTTACTACCAGCACTGACTATATGGCCACTTTGCCCCCCTCCCCAGGTGCTGTGGCCCTGGCCGAGTTCATCGCCGAGAGTCTCCGGCTCCTGCGGCTGGATCTGCGGCAGAATGAGATCAAGACGGGAGGCCTGATGGCGCTCTCCCTGGCGCTCAAGGTCAACACCTCCCTGCTGCGTCTCGACCTGGACAGCGAGCCCAAGAAGGAAACGGTGAGGATGCGGAATGGGGGGGGGGGTTATGGAAGGGTATACACTAATGACTATTTTTCTATGGATTAATAGGAGATATTGTGGATAAACAAAGTAAAACGATGTTGGTGGTCTGGTGCTGCTTTTTGCTGATTAAAGTCTGACGTTTCTTTTGTAAATACTTTTCATTTTTATTTCATATGTGACTGGCGAGACTCGGGGTGCGAGTGTGACTCGAAGTGTGTGTGACTCGCAATGTGTATGTGACCAATGTGACTCAGGGTGAGACTCTGAGTGCAGGGCTGGGGTCCCTTCCCAGGTATTCTTGCCTTGTGTCCCCTGCCACCTTGCTATGGGTCTGTGATGGATGGATGGAAGGATGAAATTTGTCAGATTTGCAGCTCTTTGTCAGAAACATTGTCAGTTTGACTTTGTCTTTGTAAATAATATCAGGTGAAAGATGGTGTGCATTTATCATGTGGGGCAAAGTCGAAGCATAGATTTGCGCTTTATCCCGTTGCAGGTGAAGAGTTTCATTGAGACCCAGCGCAGCCTGCTGGCTGAGATCCAGAAAGGCTGCAATCATAACTTCTTCCTGGCCAAAGAGAAGAAGGAGAGTGAGCTGCAGATGCTGCACTCGGCCTCCATGCCGGAGATCGCCTCCATGCCGGAGATCGCCTCCACAGAGGACGAGCCAGGGGAGGACAGGCCGCCCGGTCCGGGGCCATCGGAGCAGCAGGAAGGTGTTTCTGAGGAAGACGAGGCCGCGGGAGTTATGGGGGAGGAGGAGACGGGTGTGGCCTCTGACAGTGAGGGGGGGCTGAGCGAGGGAGGAGAAACAGGCGTGGGCTTTGGGGACTCTGACTCGGATACGGACGAGGAGGACACCGTGCCGGGCGTCGAAGCCCAGGCTGCACAGAGGACTGCTGCCTCCTCAACCCCGGGAGAAACTCCGCCCACCCCCGTGCCTCCACCCCCGCCCACCTCCACCCCCGTAGAGGGCATCACCATCACGGAATCCCCCATGTCATCGCCGGGGGCCCCTCCTTCACCCCGTCGTTGCTTCTCGGTGTCGAGCCCGGGTAGGGGGCACAAGATTTTCATGGTGACCCGTGTAGAGAGCCCCCCCGAACAGCAGCAGCAACAGCTTCAGGTGGGGGTACCGCAGACGCAGCCCCCGCCCCCGCCCAAAGGGAAAGCTCCTGAGGAGCAGCCCTCTATGATGCCGGAGCAAGACACAGAGCCACAGCGGACCCAGGAAGGCAGTGCAGGGTCGCCCCCGACGCTAACCCAGGAGCCCACTCCGGATGTCCCAGGAGCGTGGCAAGAGGCGGCGCGGGCACAGGGGTGCCACCTGCTGGGCAATTGTGGCGCGGCAGCCGAAGTATGTTCCAAAGGTGAAGCAGCAGGAGCTGCTCTGCCCAATGGCCTCCGAGCCGAGTTTGCCCTGTGCCTGCCAGAGCCTGAGGAGCCCAAAGCAGGCAGCTGTGTGGCAGAACATGGTAAGTGTCGTCAGTCTGAGCATCTTACCCCTCTATCTCATTGGGAGGGGTCAGTCTGAGTTTCCCGCCCCTCTATTTCATTGGGAGGGGTCAGTCTGAGTTTCCCGCCCCTCTATCTCATTGGGAGGGGTCAGTCTGAGTTTCCCGCCCCTCTGTCTCATTGGGAGCGGTCAGTCTGAGCTTCTTACCCCTCTATCTCATTGGGAGGGTTCAGTCTGAGTTTCC